CCGATACCTCTGTCATCCTGGATGATATGATAATTTCTCTTCAAAATTCCATCTGCTGAACTTTTCTGAGCTTTCTGTAACGCATCATCACGGACGATCTCTTATCGTCCTGGCCGATATGATCGAACTCTGTTACAATCATTTTGATCGCCTTGGCCGATAAAATTTTCGTCCTGCCCGACGCATTTATGGTCATCGTCCTGGCCGATACACCTGATCGTCCTGGACAAGCCATGTGTCAGTACATTTAAAATCCTTAAAATCGGCCCCGGAAGATCCATTATTGGACAATCGTCCTGGTCGATCCACTGTTCGTCCTGGACGATACACGTGGCACAGATTTAAAATGTCTTAAATTCGGCCGGTACGATCAATTCTTAAGCATCATCCTAGACGATACACCTAATCGGCCCGGCCGATTTGCTTTTTCAACGGTCGTCCAATTTGATTCCTCGGGACGATCGCCTGTGTCTAATCGTCCTGACCGATATCTAATCGGCCCGGCCGATTGGACAAACTTTTTGACCAATCGGCCTGTACGCAATAATTGAACCATATCGTCCTGGATGATTCTATGATCGTCCTGGACGATGTGGCCGTTTCTTTAAATACAGGCCATTCCAGCCATTGTTTTCACCTCAAAGCTTCTTTTTATCTCGTTTTTACTTACTGATTTCTTGCTATGGCTGGTGGAAAGCGAGTCTGACAGGCTTCTAGAAGTTCCTCGAGGGCCACTCTGGACCTCGATTCAGGGAAGTAGAGGATCAAGCAGCTTACCGTCGTTATAAAGAATGTGGCATCACTCTTTCCAGAACCATCAATCCTGTGGATCTCTTTGCTCACACTTCTCTCTGTTTCATTCTTACCCTCGCTGTCCCTTTTTTCTCTGAACTTCTGTTAGAATTTTATGCAAATCTTCGTATAAATTTTGCTTTCACAGCCCTGACCTCCTATATGAATCGACGCCCGGTCGAGATCACATATCAGGACTGTGCTGAACTGTTGCAGCTATCCACCACCAGGGATAAGCTACATACCATTATTTCTGATCCTGATTTTGATTGGACATCGGCAAATCATTTCCTTCGCTAGACCAACACACCCTTTCATGTTGGGGAGACTAGCTCTTTAGTCAAAGATGTTAGGATAATCCAACATGTCCTTCGCACTTCCATAATTCTAGAGGCCGGAGATCGTGTCCACATCACTCCTCTACTTTCTTTGACTACTTTTTACATCATGGTCCATAGAGATTTTAATGCTACATACATAATTTTTCGTTACATTGATCATTTAACAACTATTCGATATAGGCCAAAGGAGGAAACACAACCTTGCTTTAGGACACCTCATAGCCTATATTCTTGAAACCAAATACAATCTTCAATATCCTACTCATCACGATCTTCAGCCTCCCTGCTACTCGAACAGTTCTTTCAATATCCTTTACAGTACTCGTCTCCACCCAGTGGATGGGGAACCTCAGAGGGCCGAAGAGGAGGAGGCTCCCGATCCCGTTCCTGAACCTGCTCCTCTCCTCCAGCACTTATAGTTTGATCAATTAGTGAAGAGATTTGATCGATTGGAGATCTGGTTCGACACCTTTGCTGCACACCAACAGCAGCAGCACGACCAGGACATGGCCTAGTTTGGCTCACAGTTTGCTGCCTTGACTAGTTACTTTCAGCAGTCACCACCACCATCACCTCCGTCTAATGATCAGGGACCCTCATTTTTCTAGTATTAGATTTTATTTCCAGTAGTTGCTTATATTTGTTTTTCCTTCTTTTTATACTTTTTCTACTTTAGTTTCTTTTTAGTTCCCTCCTCCTTTTTGAGATGACAAAAAGGGGAGTAATATGTTTGTACTTGTTAGTTTGTACTTACACCTATTTCTACTCTGAATTTTTGAAATTCTTGAATTACACTGCTATAATCATCCAAGTGTTTGCCATCATCAAGCTTTTTCTACTTTAGTTGCTTTTTAGCTCCTTCCTCCTTTTTGAGATGACAAAAGGATGAGTAATATGTTTGTACTTGTTGATTATGTTTGTACTTATTAGTTTGTACTTGCACCTATTTCTACTCTAAATTTTTAAAATTATTGAATTACACTGCTATAATCATCAAAGTATTTTCCATCATCAAAAAGGGGGAGATTGTTAAAAACTTGGTTTCATAGATTGTGATTTTGATATTAGCAAACACTTTGACTGCTTTCCTCTACTTACATTTCAGGACCAAAAGATCTAACGACAAACAGAGCCAATTCAAGATTGGGTAGACTAGGTCTGAGTCAGTCTGTATTTTTCCCCTTTCTTGAGTCAATTATAAATATTTGAAGTGACTGATGTTAAGTAACCCTATACACACACTTGAGAGTTTAGAATTTTTGTTTTTACTCACATCGTCACGGACGATATTTATATCGTCCTGCACGATCGAGTTCAAAATAGAAGTTCTAATCAAGATTACTTAGTTAAAGCAGCCGTAATTAATTGATCGGCCTGGACGATACTTGTATCGGCCAGAACGATATGCTCAAAACAGAAAGAAATAGCCGCCATAATCAATTTAGGTATTCTGTATTTTTGGAAATCAGCTAGGACGATCGTGAGATCGACCTGGATGATATTACATAATTATGCCTAAATTGATTCAGGAATCAAGGAAGTAATTAAGGATGATAGATACAATCATATCGTCCTAGACGATCACAAGATCGGCTAGAACGATCAATTCAAAAACCCTTAGTTATACTTGGACGATAACTATCGGCCAGTTGAAATTCAGGGCGATGCTCTGGACGATTTTTCTCTGATTTGAACTGATCGACCGGGACGATCGTGAGATCGGCCGGGTCGATTGTGAGATTGGCCTGGATGATCAAGCCAATTTTCAATCGTCCAGATCATCTTCAGAGTGATGTTCTGGCCGATCGTCTGTGTTTTGAACTGATCGTACAGGACGATATTATTATCGTCCTGGACAATAAAGTCGGCAACTTGCATTTATTAAGCTCCTTTGAAGCTCTTCTATTTAAGAGCTATTGTTCAACGTTTTTTAACATTTTTGGCTGTTGTCTTGACCTGAGAAAACGTAAAGGAGAGAGATTCTCCCTTTTTTTCTTTTTTTATACCTTTTTCTTCATTATCTTTTTTTTTTAATAACATCACAAATATCATTACTAATAATGTCATTAATAACATCAAAATGAGTACTAATAATGATATTAATATTAATCATTTAAAAAATATCAATGTTAACATCACATTAATAATGATATTTATATTAACCTTAATACTAATATTTACATAAATGGTAATATTGTTGTTAGTATGAGAAAAGATAATAGTATTAGTATAGTATTAACGCAAATAACGAATATGCTAAAACATATAATAAAAATGAGAGAAAGATGCTCACTGCTTGGGCTAACTTGAGTGGAAATCGGTTAAGGACTTGTGAGATTTGTGAATGAGAGGATTATTTTAAATGGCAAGTTTCTCAAATGACAAACATACGTGGGCTTAATCTGGTGGGTCTTTGAAGTAGATCGAGTGGGATTGGGCTGAGGAGGTGAGATTAAGTGAGGCTGATCAGGTTGATTTGAATGGGCTTTAGGTGGTATATTGAAATAGTTTGATTGTTGAATGGATTGAGCTGATAGGTTTAGTTTGAGTGGGCTTTGAAAGGCTATTTCAGTTGGAATGAAATGGGCTGATTAATGGGCTTTGATATGGACCGACCATAGCTAGAAGAAATCAGAGAGTGGTAGCCCTGGGTCCGACCATAGCTGATTAATGGGCTTAATCTGGTGAAATAGTTTGATTGTTGGATGGATTGGGCTGGAGAGAAGAAGCGAGGAAGAGAACTTGTCTTCTTTTTTTTTATATTTAGATCATTTAAGAAAAATTCATACATGCAACACATACACATAGACTACCTTAGACCTCTTAGTTGGAAGCCTTATAATTGATTGGATCAAGCATGAAGAAAATGATAACTAACATAAGCAACATCATGCAAATGAATGTATGAAATGCATTGCAGAAATCAAAACACTCGAACATCACTTATTCCGTGAAATGGACAATGCTAAAAAATCCATAGTTTCAAAAATATTTGGAAAGGTCCTCCGATCTTGAAACCTTCGAATCAAAGAAAACAAACAGAAATTTCATACGAAGTAAAGAACATCTTAAAAGCATCGTGTGTGAATGTTGGATGAATAAACTTCCTATTTATTATGATTACACTACTACTATTTATTTAGAAAATAAATCATATTCATCACTCACAAACAAAATATATTAAAATTTGATATCATTTCCGGAGAGATCATGAAGAACAACGAGAAATATTTTTAGGTAAAAGTTATGTTTGTGAATGCTTTCTAATTATTTTCTAAAATAGCTTTTGAATATAAAAATTTTCTAATTCCAACAATTTTGTACTTAAAAATTGTATTAAAAAATATTTAAAAAAAAAAAAAACTGTCTGGAACGAAACCATAATTAGCATAGTAAATCAACTTAAGATAAAAATTTACAAAAACATTAAATGCATATTTATTTGCTACATGAGAGTTCAGTTTATTGATTCTACTCCCCTTTTATTTCTCAAATTTTCCATAAAATAATCATTAAGTTACGTACATAATTTTCTTTTTTTATGATTATAAAGAGTAAGATTGTATACTTATATATATATATATATCATCATTTACACAATTTAAATAGCATTTATTTACAGCTTGCCTTATGCAATATTCAAACAGATTTAAATAGCAATTATCTATATATTTTACGGTGATGTGTTGGTGACCCATTCTATTAATGAATTATATAGAAGCAAAGAAGGTTTGAAGAGCAATGGTAGAAAAGTGATATTAGTCAATGGAGAACCAAAATAAAGAATTTCTCCTTTGAAACTCTAACCTATCTGTCCACAAAACCTGACCATCATAATTCCTTAAATGAGCTCAGACGTCGTCAACCCACAAAACTTCTGTTGAATTTTCAATGTTCAATGGAAAGCAGCATTTTTATAATATATAAACAATCGCAAGGATGCTTCAAACATTAAAAAAAGTTCTACTGCTTACCACTATATATATGCATACAAAATAGCTAAAGAAAATTCACTCATACTTACGAGAGTAAACATTCTCTTCTTTCATCTCCATTCTTACATCTCTTTGAGTTCTGCAAAAACAAAATCATAGGCATGGATATGACATTCATTTCCTTTGCAAATGCACAGAAGGATATGGAACGCCTCTTCAATCACTTTGATACTAATGGAGATGGTAAAATTTCCTCATCTGAGCTTCAGCTTCTTATGAAAACTATTGGAGAAGAGCTCTGCTCTGAGGAAGCTGAGGCCATGCTACGATATGTTGACTCAGATGATGATGGTCTACTTGGCATGGAAGACTTCATTAGATTGGCGGAGATAGAAAGTAGTGAAGAAGAAAAGAGTAATAAGGAAGACCACATAGTAAAGGAAGCTTTCAAGTTATACGAGATGGATGGGAAGGGCTTCATTACAGATAGGAGTTTGAAAAGAATGCTTAGTCACTTGGGTTCATCGAGGCCAATTGAACAGTGTCGTTCTATGATTGCTAGCTTTGATTTGAATGGAGATGGTGTGATTTGTATTGAGGAGTTTAGAGCCATGATGATGCTCTAATTCCCTAATTTGTTGGTTCATATTTCTTAATTTAAGATCTATTTTGACTGATATGTTATTTGTGCTTTCAAAGAAATAGTATGTTATGAATCGTGCAGAGGCTAATTTGAGCAGTGGACATGGAAGCTTTTCGGATTGTCACAAACTGAACAGTGTGGTCGTCCATCTCCTTCATTCTCCACTACAGCAAATCATTTAATAACCTGCTATGTGAGCCATTATGCCTACTACAGCTATTTCATTCCCTGGCACCAATCGCAGTACCTGGAGCACAACTACCCAAGGGAATTAGTATTACATATACAGCTTACTGTACATGCATTTATACATATCCAGAAATCACATTTGCATCTGCTCTGTTTTCATGGTCACTATTCCTCTCTGTTGCTTTCTCCTGCTTGTCCTTGTTCACTCACCTCTAGCTCAAACAAAAAAGGGTATAATATAAAAATGCACAAATCGTTACCTGTCTGCAAATCCCGCGCCCATCACCTGTTCTCTGCCAAAATCCCGCTACTACAGTCTTATTCGCAGTCTGCAATGGCGCTGCTCGAGTCACTTCTCCTGCGTGTGGAGAGTAGATCGATCGAGTTATTAAATACGACGAAGCTTTCGCGCTTTTCCCCTCTGCCTTCCGATCTCAAGCCTCCAACCCCTCATATTAATTTCTTCCTGATCTCTCACTTCCAGCCTCCGAGCCCTTCGCAAAACTTCCAACCCAAATGAAGTCGAACTCCCACATCCAACTGGCCTCATTCCATTCTTCTTCTTCGCCTCTTCCGAACCCAAACCCACGGCCATATCTCCCTTCCCGAATACCCTCAGCCACATACACCTGCCCGATGTATGTAACCAGTCCGAATTCAACTAGATAACCCCAATTCCTCCAACCTTTTCCTCCTCTTGCTCTGATCGATCTCCTCTTCCCTAGCCTTGTCCGACCTCCCGGACCTTCCGATCCACAGAGAGAGAGAGAGAGAGAGAGAGAGAGAGAGAGAGAGAGAGAGAGAGAGAGAGACCGACCTACCTCCTCCATTGCTGGCTGACTTCGCTCCTTCGACGACGTTCCATCTTTCTGTTGGATCGGAAGTTACAACATTTCAATCGAAAGTATTGATGGGAGCTTGCTCTCTTTGTTTGGTAACAATCCTTCTCCCCTTTCACTCGCTACTTCGGCCAAATCTCGTAAATCCTCTTAATCAAGGGTTTGATAATCCTTGGAGGATTTACTCCGCCATGAGATGTACAGGCGATACAATCACATTTGGCAGGATCAAGCATAAATCCTGCATAATTCCTATTGCCAAACAACATCTAAATCATACTCATATCCTGCTGTTTGACGGGTTTAGCTAAAATCATGTTTAAATCCTATCTGATTAATTATGATTATTCATAATTAATTGTTATTAATTATAAATAATTATAATTGATTACTAATTATGATTAATTTCAATTAATTATGTTAATTATTGTTTAATCTAAATTAATTATTTTTATTAATAATTAATTATTATTAATTTAATTAGTTATAATTAATTATTTTAATTATAATTAAAATAAAGAAAAAAAATAAGAAAGAGATCTTCTCTTGCCTCGATCCACATGCCAACTCCGCCGACGTCCCCTATACGTAAGTATAAAGTTCTAAACCCGAAAACCTGTCCTCAGCACTTACAGCGCGACGAATAATCACTCATGCGCATTTTTCTTAACACTGCGGGAGAAAGTTCGACGTGGTGCTTGTGGCGAGGTATGTAATCTCCAAAAAGTCATGTTTTCAATGTTTGTGGTGTGGTAAGGGACACCCTATGTATGTTTTTCTTAGCGAGGTGGCAGGGAACTTGGTGTGGCACTTACAGCAAGGCGGATGATCCTTGTGCGCATTTTTTTAGCATGGATGAGAAAAAATATAAGTACCTGCACACATGGATAAACTTCTTTTTCAAACAGGTACTTTTGAAAACCCATGCACGCCTTTCTTGGCATGGTGTGGATGAAGATTACGATTGCAGTGTCCCACAACATCGATCGTTCACGTCTTTCTTGACGTGTCGAGTAGGCTAAGACTTCTTTAGTTGTTGCATTCTATGACCCCTAATCTGAGATTTTGATGATTTTAAATTATGTTGATTAAATTATCTTATTCTTCATTAAATATTTTGAATGTTACTCTTGTCTGTGAGTACTAACATTTCAGGGAAATCACACACTACTCAAGACAATGAAAGACTTGAGACTGGGTAGAATAGGATGTGAAGGAGCATGTAACTTTGTATTTTCTTTTTTTTCTTTTTCTTAAGTCTGACCACAAAAACTGTATGCAACTTGAGTAAACATGCATAAACACAAGGGGGGAGTTTTTTTTTTAATATTTTTTTATGTAGAACATATTGTACTATTTTAAATCGTATTATATGCTACACTGTGGCTCAATGGTTATATTTTGTGAACTAATCGTACTGTACGATCCAATCGTACTATACGAATATTTAAATACTTGCTAAAATTAACTCCCATGATTAGACAATTAAATTAAGGCTTAATTAATGATTGGTGATCATACTGTACGATCTTGTTCGTACCGTATGATGAACCAAGGCAGTTTTTTGTCGTCCCGAAAATCATACCGGGTGAAACCTTGATTTTGAACTAATTGTACTATACGATGTATACATTGTATAAAATGACCTGAATATTTTAACTGATCATATTATATGAGTTGGATCATATTGAATGATGAATAGAGATGAATTTTGGTCGTCCTAACATTCGTCATGTATGAACTAAAGAAACATAATATATCGTACTAAACGATATTCGTATCGTATTGTATGATGTTTTAGACAATTATTGCATGTTTGTACTTCTTCGTAACATGATGAAAGCTATTTTGAACTGATTGTACCGTATGATTTATCATCGTTCTGTACAAATAGAAACGACTAAATTGAATTTTTAGGGTTTCTTGAAGCTTGATATATATTCATTGCCTTTGCTTTTTGAATGAGAGAGAAAGGAATGTGACAAAGGAAGGGAACTCTTGAGAGGGAGCTTCTTGAGAAGATTTAGGGCCTGTGAGAGGAAGGAGAAGTTGGGTTTGTGCGTGAGGGAGGAGTGTGAGGTGATCACACGATTACTCCAAGCCTGCTCACGCTTGCTCCTCTGGTGGCCCAGGTAAGTCTTGTGGGAGCTCTCTAGGGGGGGAGCCTTCAAGGTTAACATCCTCAAAGGTCCTCTGCCTTCTCTAGAAGGGAGAAAAATAAGAAGATCCATTGCCGTCACCGGGAGGGTGACATAGCGTCCGACACTCCGCCACACCGGGGAAGGTGAAAGTGAGTTTGTGTAAAAGATTCTCCACCTTGCTGTGGAAGCAGAAGGAGAATTACTTTTGAGTAGTGCAAATCCCAGAGTGGTAGACTCCCGGGAGTGGACATAGGTCAAGTGACCAAACCACTATAAAATTCTGGTGTTCTTTTTCCATTTATCACATTTTATTTTTCTTGCATTTAACATTGCTATAGCTACTTGGTGAGAATTTAATTGTATTATTTCATTGTGCAATTTAAAATTTCATCACCACTATTGCAATTGTCTTTTAATCACTAGCTTCCACTTTTAATTAATTAAGTCATCTTTTAAAATTCACCAAAAAAAAGATAGAACTTATGTTTAGACTTTGATTTTTTATTAAAAAAATATCAATTCACACACCCCCCCCTTCTTAGTGCATCTCATACATTTAATTCATATCAGAGATAGTTTCGCTAGGTTTCATACGAAAGAGTTATTAGTCATGCAATGAAATATTTAATCTAGACTGTTTAACCTCACTAGTTTCAGGTTCGATTTTTTATCTGCATATCATACTATACGATCCACTTCGTATTGTACGATATACATGGCCATGCATTCAAATCATTTGGTATGATATAAGTTCCATTCATACTGTACGATATATACCTTTCGTATTGTACAATCCATGTGTCCGAATGAATTTGGATGAATTTAACATGGTCGATATGATATTATTGCAATTCGTACTATATGAATACTCATTCGTACTGTACGATCCTTTTTCTTAAAGGTGGACAAACATATTTTCTTCATATAGTTCAGTACGATCCTGATCGTACTGTACGATTTAACCACCTCTTTCTGACCGATCATCTAGACGAAATAATTTCTTGATCATACTGTACAATACTCTATTGTATTGTACGTATAGTTAAAAATTCTATAAATATAAGGGAAAACAAGCTTATTTCACTTAACCTTTCTTTATTACACTCATCCTCACTTGTTTCTACTCATTGGCTAGCTCAAGCAAATGAGGTCGAATCATCCCGAGAAGCTCTTCTTCCTCTCATTGCCACGATGATCATTTTCTGTCTGCTAAAGATGAGGATGCCTACCATAAATTCAAAGTATGTAAGATCACTCCTTCTCGCATGCTAAATCAAGTATCCCTTAACTTTGAGGTGATGAGCCTCTTTGCTTCCACTACCCTCTAATTTCTTCTCACCCTTTATATCGGGCTTTCTACTGAAAGACCTCGAGCCCACTCCTTTATAATAAATGAGTTTGACTGGAGTTCCATTAATTTAGTTCTTAGAAATGTTACTTTGAACCAACACCAACCTCTTATCTAGTCTTTAACATAAAATGTCTGCATCATCCAACATGTTCTTAGGACATCCATAATATCCAAAGTTAGAGATAGGATACGCATGACCCCAATCCTGTTTATTGTCACTTACCTGATTATGTCCAATACTTGATTTGATGAAGCTGATTTGATTATTGACTATATTAGGAATATTACCCAAGTTTGCCATCTTAGCGCCCGCATGAAACTATATCTAGTCCTAGGGCATGTCATAGGCTACATTCTTCACCACAAATACCAGTTGACCTATCCTGGTGAACCCGACAATGTCCATATTTTTATACGGATGCCTCTTTCCATATATTGTTTCATTGAGGCCAAGAGCGTGCATATCCGAATTTTGTTGATGAAGAGGAGGCTGCTCCAACAGGAAGACCTGCTCCACCAAGAGGGACTTGCTCCACCTAGAGGATGACATGCGATGGTTTGGGAAAAGATTTGCTTCGATCGATCATCATTTTGCTTCCATCCATCACTTCTTTCAGCCACCTCCACCATCACTTGATTAGGATCCATCATTTGACTAAGTCTTTGTCAAATATGTTTTATGTACATTTTCTTTGATACTCCTTTTTTTAGTGATGTCAAAAGGGGCAGAAATTTGTCTGTCCTTAGTTAGTATGTTTTCTTGTTGCATATTATATTTTTTATTTTAATTTCTGACTTAAAATAAATTGCATGTTTATGTTCATATTTTTATATTCTTTTATTTATATTAATAAAAAAACTCACAAAAAATATTATATTGCCTATCAACAAAAATTATTTGACATAATCATAAAGGGGGGGATTGTTGTATTCTATGATCCTTAATTTGAGATTTTGATGATGACAAATAATGTTGATTGAATTATCTTATTCTTCATTGAATATTTTGAATGCTACTCTTATCTGTGTGTACTAATATTTCAGGGAGACCACGCACTTCTCAAGATAACGGAAGACTCGAGACTAGGTAGAATATGATGTGAAGGAGCCTGTAACTTTGTATTTTCTTTATTTTTTTCTTTTTTGAGTCTGGCCATAAAAAGTGTATGCAAATTGGGTAACTATACACACATACAGGGGGACAGGTTTTTTAAAGGAAAATTTTATTTTTTATGTAGATCATACTATCCGATTTTAAATTGTACTACATGATACGCTGTGGCTCAATGGTTATATTATGTGAACTAATTATACTGTACGATGGTAATCGTATTGTACGATTCATTTTCAACCTGAAACCCTAGCCGCCAGATTAATTTAAGCAAGTTTTTAATTTTAAACTAATCGTACTGTATAGTCCAATTGTACTATATGAATATTTGAATACTTGCTAAA